CGTAGGTACTAAGGGAGGGGGATGTTAAACACAGAGACGGAAAAACAAATCTTGCGTAGGTACTAAGGGAGGGGGATGTTCAGCACAGAAAAGGAAAAACAAATCTTGCGTAGGTACTAAGGGAGGGGGATGTTAAACACAGAGACGGAAAAACAAATCTTGCGTAGGTACTAAGGGAGGGGGATGTTCAACACAGAGACGTAAAAAGGGTGAATATTCCTCTTACAAAATGTTGCGTGGGTTTCTGTATCCCGTATGTCTTGTCCTTAGTCTTCCAGCGCATGTATACATTCTTGAACTCCTTGCGAACCTGAAGGTTTTTAAAATAACGCAAGATTGGTATCGTGGGAAGTGAATCGAATATTTCGCACCGATTAAGCCGAATTGAATCTTAAAAAATAATATGTCACTCACCGTCTTGTCCAGTATAAGATAAAACACTAGTATAAACAGGCCCTGTGAACGAGACAAGCTCATCATAAATTTGTCGCTTATCGATCGACTTTCATTAACCAAAGGACTACAGCTCTCTAAATTCAAGGTATTCAGCTTTCATAAATTTCACGACGAATCCTTTTCGGAGTTGAAAATGAAAAGGAAACAAGCGATTCGCATCTTATTGATCATATGTGTTCAGGCACTGAATTAAATTTGTTGGATACGCTTTCTTAATCCGTTGTTTCAAACTCTTCGACCCAGTTTTGAAGAAGCGATCATTTTTTGGGTGAGTAAGGGTTAAATGTAACGAAAATTTTGATCTTCTGCTGACGGCTTAAAAGCAAAGAGATCCCTGTTTTAGCAGCAAAAAACAACTGGATCAATGAAATCCTCCACTGCCTCTTCACATTAGATTAAAAAGTGCTCTCTGAAGAACAGGGCACTTCACTGCCGGAAGTGATTCTAACCTGGCAGAACGTGAAGGCAGCAAAGACGTAGTGGAAAGTTTCTAAATCTTCATTGACCATCAAAATGGCGAAGGCGAAAGAAACTCCTATCAGGGGAAGGAGACCGGCTGTAGCTCGTAATCCGGCACTGAAGTGATAAAAACAAAGATAGATAAATAACACATGTATAAATGGACAACGAAATATCCAGTTAAAAACATAACAGACCAGTCATTATCTACTTCTGCTTGCGATATGTATACTTGTGTCGAGGGCCGTTTTCACGGTGAAATAGGAGCTGCTATACTTAGGTTTGTGATTACGCCTCTAGTGAAAACCAGGCTTTAGCAGAAGACGATTGGTACGCTTATAATTCAGTCAAAAAAAATTATCTTACGTTAAGTTAGACTGTTCGTCGTCGTCATGGTGATGGTGGTGATGGCGACGTCGTCTCTTTCTTGATTGTTTTTTAAGTGACATGAACAACGCCATGATAAAGACGAGTGTGTTGAGCTGCGATGATAATTAAAAAAAAAAAGAAAAAATCAATGAGTAACATGACGTACTAAATCAATAAATGTGATGTTTAAATGCTGCACCATTCCACTCAATAAAATTTGTGCGTAAATATGAGAAATTTCAGACCGTCATCTTTCTGTAACTGTTTATGATCTGATCGCCGTGGCGACATCATGTTAAGTGCGCTAAAGGATGTCATTGAGGATAGAACTGTTTCATTAATCACAACAAGAAATACATAATATTGTTGTGCTACTGTTCATCAATTCGGTATTTGCAGGGGAATTGTGCATGGGGAATTGGAAGGGAAAACAGAGCGAGGACAGATCGGTAAAGTGGACACTGGACACGAACCATTTTACTTCTAAGATCTCATTAATAATTCTCACTGCTGTCTGCCATATAATTCTTATGACGTTAGTTCAGAGAATTTGGTTTGGATCAACATATAATCTCCTGGCCATGCTTGTAATATAGCCAACTGGTTTGCCTTCGGCCAGTTGGGATTCTTAATAATGTTATTTTCAATTTATTTATTTGTTTCAGTTGTTTGGTGGAAAACCTGTAAACTAGCTCTAGCTAAGTGTTTCTCCACATAAAACTGTTTATTATTTATTTATTTATTATTATTATTATTATTAGTTGATATTTTTCTTTATTCTCATCACTTGTCTGCTTGATATTGTATTGATATTATAAGGAGAAGTTCTGTCTTGGTCACTCATGGGAAGTCACGATTGTCTGGGAAGGAACACAAAAAGGTTGAACAGACCAGACAGATGGCAACACCGCAGGGGGGGGGGGGGGGAGTGTGGGAGGAAGAAAAGAGTGAGAGTTCAGCTTTCTAGAGATGCCACTGGATATTCTGAAGAGATTTTGAATTCGCTCGGTAATATTGATATATGGTGTCAGTATTGGGACCGTTTGTGAAGCTACTTACTGCGACAATGATAATGATCGGGATCGTAAAGGTCCAAATAAGTGTTCCATCTGTCGACATCCAACAGCTGGGAAAAAAAAAAGTCAAATAACCAGAAATTTAGAGGGACCGGAAGGGGGAGGATCACATGGTTTTCAGGGGGGGAGACCCAGCGGGTCTTGTATACGATGGTCAAATACTGCAACAAAATTATCACTCTAAGTCTGGGAGTCTTAAAAATATTAACAAACTGTTTTCGGGGACTAGTAAAAGGTTTCACTCAGTGACCATACAAAGGTGACAGAGCTGAATAACGTATACGCATGCGCTAGGTTTTGCCGCGGAAACACGGATTTTGAGTCGTTCGCATGGTTGATTTCCTATTCTGTTGCTTCGAGGCGTCGTTTTCCTTGCCGCTTTTCTTTTACAGAACAACCTCCAAAAACTTGGTACACCCCCTAAAAATTTTCAAA